TTCATTATATGCAAAGAAAATTAACTCTTTTGTGATCAGTGTGGTGGAAGCCTGCAGTCAGCTGCTGTGTGTGGTGCATTGTGGGAGTGATGTGCACCAACATATAGTGTTGGATCAGTGCTCCTTGCTCATTGTCTGCAACATGTGTTTCTGTAGTTGCCATCTGCATTCTGATAGTGCCCTGTACTTATGTGTACTGTCTGCTGCTGGTGAATACCAAAATTGTCTTGTAAAAGAGGTAGCAGTGGGTCTTGGGGTCAGTACAGTCAAGGTCTTGGCACGTATCCCTATTCATTACATTGTAAAGTGGGTTCCCTTTATGCGAGTTTGAGTTACGCGCCATACAGCACAAAGCAAGGGAAACCTGGAGTGCCAAAGTCAGTATGCGTGCGCGGGAGATGGCGGGGAGACACAGCTGGCTCCAGCCCTGTCCAGAATAGGCTGAGATCATAAGCATTACTGTGTGACTGCTCAGAACATATTGTAACTTGTAATGCAGTGTTGTAATGCTTACTATGATCTCAGATAAAACGTGCTGTGTTTCCTGTGGAATAAGGCCCTTAGACTCCAATCTTATACAATAGATTGGTTTTCCCCTGCAGAGCCTCACTGACATCTATAATGATCTGTATGGATCCAGGGGTTTACTGGTTTGTGTTCATTTGCAGAACTGAGCTGTAGAACCCAGTCCTGAGAAACTCTGTGTGGGCAGGCCTTTTCACCTGCAAAAAAGCTGTCTAATTTCAGTGGGTCAACTCTGGAAACACATTTCCATTTGGAAAATGTACCACATTCACAGAATTTATTCTTATAAAATTCACCGATTTGTTTTAAAAAAATAAGTGTTTGCAGTATTCCATAAGAGCTGCTGGTCCATTTTTTTGCATCTAAGCAGCTGCTTTCAAACAGAAACCTATTTAATCTACAGGTTAATCATTTAAAATAATACATCAGGATTAAAAATAATGTTATATCATTATCATCTTCAGGTCACAAAATATTTTAGACTATTTGGAAGTAAATAATTATTAAAAAAGTATATGAAATTTTGTAAAAATGCAGTATGGGGAGGTATTATTTTTATTTAGTCTCTGTACTTCAGTAGCAAACCATAAAAGAGAGTCCTTATTCTGAAGTGCTTACAGTCTAAATAGACAAAAACAAAGAAATAGTGGATGTTCAAAGAGATCCAGAGCAATAACATTACTTGCCAAGAGCACTTGGATCAGTGGCTGAGACAATAAGAGAACCTGGGGTTTCCTGTGTCCCAGTTAGTGGCCTGTCAGCTGGACCCCCAGAACTTCCTTGCACCAGTTCAGTTTGCTTCCTAAACCACTAAGTCTAGCAAAGAGGAGAGAACTGAAAAACATGAGCCAATAATGACAGGATTCATTTTAAGTTATTCTTAGCAGCTTCATGCGTATAGGACTTTGGCTGGGTAAAGAGAATGTCATTGACCTGTGGCCTTTGAGAAGGGCTGGGGAAAAGGGCAGATTTTTGAAGGACATTAACCTCAAAAACAAAAAAAAAACCCAACAAAAAAAAGCCACCCATGCACCTCTGCCCAGTGCCTCTGTATGAAAATGCTCCATATTTATGGGCCCTAAGTAGAGCTGGTTGAAATATTCTGCACTAAAAGTATCCCTCTCTGAACATGGGTTTTTGTCAAAACAAACAAACAAAAACAACAAAAACATACAAACAAAACCCCAAAAAACCAACATTATCCTTTAGGGAAAGTCAGTTTCAACAGAATGTTTTAGCTTTTGGGTTGACAGAATTAAGATTGAAAAAAAAAAATAAAGTTTCATAATGTCAGTGTGAAATATGACTTTATTTAGAAACATTTTGGAATTTCTCATGTTAATTTTTTTCTTTGCCACTTCATTTTTTTTTTTTCCCTTTTGGAAAGGAAATAAATCTCAATTTCTTGCTGCATGAAAGTTCAGTTTCCTGGTCAATTGTAGTTGTAAGGTTTTTTTCTTTTTTAAACCTCTTCTTTACAAACCTGCAAGTTTTAACTACAGAAATTGTTTTATATGCAAATGCCTTGACAAAGTCATAGCACATGTGCAATAGTTGCACTTCTTACATCTATTTAGCTTTTCACTTACTCTACCCCAAAGGTCAGAGGCACTCCCAAATCTGAAAGACTATGTATTACTTGTGTACTCTGAGAAAAATCTGCTTGCTTATGCATGGAAAAAGAGCAGTGGGGTTTCCATCGTGATATGTAGGCCCTGCTCCTACAATTGAATCAACCCTCTCTTTCAGTGTGACTCTACACACATGCAAAGGTTCATTGGCATGGATCCAGCCACAAAATGACTGCCTGTTTGTGTCTAAGGCAAGTGTATGCAGACTATGTAGAGCAGGACAAATTCAGCATAGCATAGCTAAAATAACACCCAGTGTTTTGTTGTTATACTATTGTTTGCCAAAATGTACCATAATGCATTGCAAAGCTAATTCATACAAAAGTAAGATGCTAAATAGAGACGTGGAGCTTCATTATTATTACTACTGCCTAATCTAACAAATTAATACTATTTAAAAAAAAGCCTAGATGTCAAACCTCATCTGAAAACATTAACTAATGTTTGTGCCTACTGCACAGTACATGTGCTATATAAAATCCTCTCTCATTTTGGACATCCATATAATAGACAGGCTGGCAAACAATGAGGTAAAGATGAAAATATGCAGTCTTCATTCAGAATTTCCTCACCTATGTCTGCTTTATTCAAACCTACTTTTTTTGTATTTACACCTTTAAACTTGCATCCAACAAAAATCATTTAGTTCTGCCAAGTTTCCTTTATGCTGCTTTAACCATTTCTCTCATTGATTTAAGGAGGACACAAGTCATTTTTAAATGTGCACATGGCTTCCACAATTCATTTACTAAGTCATAGGAAAGTGCTGTGGTTTCCCTGTGGCAACCTTAATACAAGAGCAGAAACTAAAGTGCGCATTTTTTCCCCTTTGTCCAGTTGTGCAGACCTCACATCTGGTGTTTTCAGGCTCATTTCCAATTACAACTGAGCTGCGGCTGTTCTTGGAATTCACTTTTCCTTGAAGGGAAAGAGGGGAGGGCAAGAGCAGGCACAAATGAGAATTTTTCTAACAGAAAGAAGAGCAATCATGCAATGACAGGGTATTGCCACTACTTGTTATATTTTTGTGATAAACATCTCTCCTGTTATTGGCACAACCACAAGTCGGGAAAGTAACCAGGAAAGAAAAAAAGCAGACTAAAAATTACATGAAACACTATTAATTTCATCTGACACGCAAATTTTCCTCTTTGCTTGATTATTCAAAATCCAGCATGCAAGGGCAGAGATTGCACTAGCCGGGCCTCTTTCCTCCCCCTGCCCAGCACTGATCACTTCCAGCACTGTTCTATGGAAGGGAGACTGAGAGTCTCAAGGGTAGCAGCAGATGCTCCTTTTTGCTCTGTCATTTAAACCTGGGCAGGAAAGCAGACTACAAAATATAACAAGGAGAAATGTTGCTTTGGCAGGAAGATGGACTTTGACCTGCCAGCTCATCACCATCTCCAATTTCTGTGATGCAGACAACTGACAAAGAGAAAGCACACAATTGTGACAATGGTTAACTGGATGCTAGTTCTTCCTGTTAGTGACATTTGCTGCCTGAGTAGTAGCCGAGAGTAACTTGTGCAGCTGGTATTTCCCAGGTGTGTTTGTGCGCTGTAGAGAGGGAGAGAACACTGAGGTGTTAAACTGACACGGGCAAAGATTCAAGCATCAGCATCTGGTACCAACAAATGTCAGGCCTTTTGGTAATTTACAGTCATGAAACCAGCCTGTTATTACTGGAAAAAAAACCAAGGTCTTGTAAGACAGTAGTCTTGTTAGATAAACTTGACTTAAAAATTTCCTCAAACTGCCATTGAAGACAAATGCTTCATTTAGTACTATAATCTGTCATGGACTGGGGTCCCCTGGGATGGCCATGATACCCCTAGGGCTCCTTGACCATGCCAATCCTGCCCCACGGGCACCTTCTTTCGCCTGCCATGTCTTGCTGTAACTATAATAGATGGGGAGGCTGCCCTCAAGTTTGTATTGTTGGACACGGTCCTGATAGACCCCACTGAACCCCGCGGAGTCTCGGACCCCTTTTGGGTCTTACTCCAAAATGGATGCCTCTCAGGACACCCTCAGCCTTATGGGCTAGATACATGGCTCCAAACTGCCCCTTTACCACGCCCCAAGTCTCGCAGATGGCATTCACACAGTGTCCCTCCGAGGCCTTAGTTTCACTTGACCTCTGGTCATCACTGGGCTCTCTGCAGCCCTGTCTCTTTCCCAGCACCAGCGTGGGTGTGGAGAGGTCTGCACACCCCAGATACCGCATCCACACTGGCACTGGGGTCTGCGCACTGTAGTGGGTCCCAAATGAGGCCTCCTCCTTCCCCAATAGCCTCTGCCCAATCCACCAGCTTACAAACAGAAATCAAAATACGAGCCCCTGGGCTATAACATAATGCAAGTAGCTCAGGGTGTGCGCTGTCCCTTTAAATGAACCCCCCCTTCCCCCAGCACAACATGCCTTGTAGGCCAGGGTCTGGTGAGCTCCTAAAGTCCCTTAATCTGACCAGAAGCAGGAGATGGGCCATCAAGCCTCTTCACTTAGCTTCCTCTAGGAGAGCTCCTTCCCCCTTGGCTGCTGGCAGAGTACTCCCTCTCTGGACCCAGCCCTGGGGTTTATATGTGCCCAGGGCCCTGTCTTTTCAGTCAGCTGACCACCTGCAGGTGCGGGGTAATTCCCTCATTCCTGCTGCCATGGTAACTTGCAGCTGAGGGGTTCCTGAGTGACTGCTGGGGCTCTCTCCCTAGGCAGTTTCAGGCCTTAAAAGAGCAAGCACCTTAGTGCCTTGCAACACTGACTCCTGCTTTCTTTCATTATTTTTCACTTGAAATCCCCTGCAATAGTGTTTCCCAAACCTTGTGGGTTTATGCCCCATCACAGTGAAGCTGGTAAATCTTGTGCCTCCCTGCTTTGTCATCACTACTTGATTGCTGCCAACTGCCCTCACCAGTGGCAGGAGGAAGCAATGGTGGCGGCAGCTGAAGGAGAGAGAGGGGCACTGGAGTGGTTGAAGTGGTGGGTGGTACCACCACTTCCTACCATGATTTGCATGTCTCCTCCCTCTCCACCCAAAACTTTTGCACAACCCACAGTTTGGGAAATGCTGTCCTAAAATAACATGGTGAGAGATTAGGAAAAGCAAAATTAAAGCAGGATGAAAAAATCATTTTAAAGCTGGTTCAGACGTCACTCCACTCTCTTCCATGCAAGACAGAATAAGGTTCACTGTTTGCATAGGTCCTTCTTTATCCAGCCATCCTGCCATGCTTCTCATGAAGACACATAGCCTCTGATAATCCAAGCGTTTTGTGTAGGTAGATTCCTCTGGCCTATGTGAAACCTACTAACCAGTGAGGCTCCATGCCACTTCCCATGCAGAATAACATGCTGGGTTGGTGTCACATTGTGCCACCTGAGTGAGGACTATGGGATCTGACCCTTAGGGCATGAAGATTAGTCTTAACCCTGAAGTTGAAAGGCATGCTTCTGATACTTTTTCTAAAGCATCAGTTAAAGGCCAGATCGTTTCTTTGGACACGTCTGTGAGTTGGGGGTCACAGGGGTCTGAAAATCCATTTACCAAGAAATCCTTTGCTGCCTGAACCTATAGGAAGCAGTGTGGTTAGCCAGCAGCTCTGCCAGTTCCAAGAACTGTGTTGGAGCTTATTTGGGAAACAGGCAACAAAAGGTCTGAGTACTACAATCCTTGCCCTCGGTTTCATTTTAATGTCTGGTATTACTATCAGTAACTGTTTAAGAACATTTGTCAAAACTGCCTGAACATGCACCACTGCACTAGACTGTCAGATTGGTGCTACTGAAAGATCACTTGTGGAAGTCATGGGGTTCTGTTGTAAATTGTTCATAAAAGTAAGTCTCTCTTTAATATTCTGATCTAGTTACACACATGTCTAACCATAGGAAGGCAGGTGATATTGTAGCAGCAGCTTTAACAGTTACTGACATTCAGATACTTATGGTAGATGTTTGAGAAGAAATAATAGGGCATTGCATGTCTGTCTCAAATAGCTGAGTCCTCTGGTTAAAACACTATAAGAAGCTCCTTTGGCTGCCTCATGCTTAATGAAATTCAGTATGCTTTGAAGGAGCCAGATGCATCTAATTTGGGTTCTCCTCTCCTTGTTTCTTTCTTCCAACTGTGGGAATAAAATGAAGAGAAAAATAAAAATAAAGGTAAGATGCAAAAGCAGTCAAAGCACTTAGTTTATGAGGCCTGCACCATGCCAATATAGGGAGTGAGTATTATAGATGCACTTAATGCATGTCTGCCATTTTAAAAAGATCTTCAGATAGGCTAAATATACCCAATGGGCTCAATATTCCAAATACAGATACTTTAATAGGACATTAAAATCTTGTACTAGGGTGCTCAAATTGGCACTTAGGTACATGAAATAGGAATGTACATACCTACAAATTGATCTTCCATTCAAATGCAGAATTTGAAAGTCCTAATAATGTATATGCACACTGAAAACAAGGCTCCTGTCCTCAGGGGTTACAAAGAAGACATAAGATGAAGCTGAAGGAATAGGCTGTAATCAAGGTTTTATTTCAGAAATGTATCCTCTTTTTCTGTTGCAAATAATCCTTGAGTAGTTAACAATTTTCTGAATTTGTCCTGTTTTTAATTTTTTTTGTAAATAGTTTCTGTGAATAATTGCTGATCATGAACTGTTCTATGAATACATCAAAGGATCTTAAATATCAACCCTGTTTGTTGGTTGGTTTTTTTTACTAGACACCCAGGTCAAAGCTTAGGAAAATGTTTTGCGCATCCATACTTATATTTATGGCTTCAAAAGTTTGCTTTTGCTGAATATTCTCCGATATTCATTTAATCCATTCCAACAACTGTTTCTGCCTGTAAATTCATTCACTAAACTATGTGCAGCAAGTAAGGGAAAAAGGGCAAGGAAAATGTAAAGCAGCAGCTTTTTATCAGTGTAAATGCACAGAAACTTTTAAAACAATTGTTTAGATGTAGAAGGACTCAGGGTACAGACAGGAGGGACAATTTTTGCCTGATCTGGCCACAGAGAGCAGTTTATAGCTGTGACCAAACGTAAGTGTACAGCTGCAAACAGCTTCAAAAATCACTGATCAGGTGAAAAATCTGACCCCTCATTGCAGGAGGTATCAGATAAAGACATTTAAAAATGTAGCATCTTTTGTAACTTGTGTCCAGGGAGCTCTCAGCATGTTGCTGTTTTCAGAATGGGAGAGAGGAAAGGGAGCAGAGGGAGTTCAGTCTGGGGGTTTTCAGTCCCTCCCCCCAGGGTAGGGCAGGTGTACTAGAGCCCACCTGATGTGGGGGAGCGGGGCTCCAACTCACCCACCCCACCCTTCAGCACCAGCTGAGGAGCCCCAAGAACAAGTCCCCTCCACTACCTTTCCCCCTTCCCATTCTGAAAACAGTGAGCACTGGCAAAGAGCCCCAGCCATTGCTAGGGGAACCTGACTGCAGGCTCCCAGCCCCTGCTAGATTCCCCTCCCCCCTGGAGCCAACAGTGAACTTCTGTTTGGTCTGGGGTAAAGTAAATCAGAACTCTTTGCAAAAATGGTTTCCAGTTACAGCTGGGAGCTGCACTTCTGTGTCACTGAATACTCACTTGGGTTTGCTGCATTGCATGCAGAAGATGTCACAATTGCTAACTCAGTTATTTAGAGTTCAGGACCTTGATCCTGCCATCAGATCTGTGGTTGGAGCCTTGAAGAGTTCATCATGTGAATCCAAATCCAGAATCAGAACCTAAATTAGAGAGAACAGCACTGTTGTTAGAACCTGGCACCATATAGCACACTCCAAAGGTCAAGAAAATGAACTTCTTGGAGCTGCTACCCATTTGGACTCAGACCTCTAGCCTCTGGCTGCCACTATCTAGGGCAGACCAGGCATTAGCGTTTGCTGAAATACACATTACAGTGGGGCTCCAAACTGCTGGCGTGGGAAGAGGGGGTCAGGAACGGATTCTTGCAAGGTTCCCATTGCTGGACATATATAATTTGGGCTGCCACACTGTAGCTCTTTGGCCAGCCCATCTATCCATGTCCAGCAAGGAGAACTCTGAGGAGCTTCATGGGAGGGGGTGGTATGTGTACTGAGCATGAGAGAGGACAGCATGATGAGTAATCGGAAAAGCTTAGATTTTATCAAAGGCCCAGTCTTGCCAGCCCTGAGTTTTGTATAATCCTTATGCCAATGAGGATTTCCAGAACTAAGTCCAGTGAAATCAAGGGAATTACATCAGTCATATAACTATTGCGAGGAATCGGGCCTCAAATAGCAAAGGTGGAGTTGGCACTGATGGACGTGAAAAACCTTTAGGCAACCGTAACACCATGTGTTTGTTTTCAGTGGATTCTAAGTTTGAAAACTGTTCAGGCTCATATTTTGCACGCTTGCTGTCTTCCTTAGGTTGAATGTTTTTGGAACTTGCCAATACACTTATGCTGCTTCTGAGAGAGATGTTGGGAGAAAAAGAGTTAATTTTGCAGATGCTAAAAAAAACATTTCTGTCTGTTTCTTTCAACAGCCTCACTGTTTGCATCCACGCTCTGACTAGGAACTTGAACCTTGGCAGGGATGGGGCAGGAGTGTCTCTCTCTTTGTGAAAACCAATCCAGTTTAGCTGAGTTCCAAACCCTGCAGCATGGCTGTTTGCACAAACTCAGCTGAGTTTTGTTATAGGCTTGCCATTAACATCTCAAACCGTTGTGTCGGTGGTGAGTTGGCAGAGAGCACCCGCATGCCATGTGCACCCAGCATGCTTGTCAGCCTCCTGCACGGGACCTGCCGAGACAGGGTGCTGCGTAGAGACAGGTGCAGCAGCAGTGTCACCTTCTCTCTATCTCTTTGAGCAAGACAAATGCAGGCGGGACTGACAGCCAGGAAAAATCCCTTCCACTAATGGGTGTTAATACACCTGTGCACTTGACCGGCTTTATTTCCTTACAAGGTTATCAGATGCTGCCTTGAGAAAGGCAGGTGGGTATCATTTCCCCCCTCCTGACAGAGGAGAGACCTGAGAGGCTTAATGCGAGAGTCCTCTCACTGATCCCAGGGGGCAGTGAGAGAACAGACCTGGCTCAGGCCTCCATGAGGTTTGGAGGGGGACATCCGGCCCCACGCTGGGGGTCAAGCTGTATGACCTGGGCAGGGCCCTTCTGGCCTGGCTTCCCTGTGATTTCTATGGGCTTGGCCAGGCTGTCTGCAACCCCTAGATCCTACCTCTGCCGGGCCGGAGGCTGCAGCCTCTTCCACAGGCAGCACCAGCCCAAGCGCAGGGTAACAACCCACCATGGCTACCCCTGCCCCGGGGCCAGGAGCCTGTAGGTCCTGGATCACCCGTGCTCCCTGCCTCAGCCCCACGTCTTTCTAAAGGCACCACAAAGTGGGCAGACCCTGTGCCAGGACCCAGGGGGGCAGGTATGTGTGTCGGGGTGGCTATGTGTGTGTCGGGGTGAGGGCAGGTGTGTGTGTCAGGGGGCAGGTGAGGACAGGGGGGTGTGGGGAGGTCCGGTGTGTCAGGGCCAGGTGTGTGCGGGGTGGTTGGGGGGCATAGGTGTGCGGGGGGGGG